GAGGTGACATCTGATTTCTATTTCACTTCAGTTCCTAGATGAAAATATACTGTAAAGTGGCAAGAATTGAACAGGGACTAGTAAGAGATGATTGTACTTTGATTTAAAGTGCTAGGTTTGGAGGTGATAAGGAGATCTGATGCAAAGGAGAATCGAGGATAAGGACAATGAGGGAAGAAGGAATCAAGGATGATTCCTAAATTATCCAGTTGGCCTGAACAAGGGAAAGTAAACGGACTTGTCTGAGTACACTGGGGAGAAGCAGGTGTTGGGGAGACAGGGGGATGATATCAGATTTTTAAAAATGCCTAAGACATGTCAGTGGAAGTATCGAGGATGAAAAGCATTTCATAAAAATTATAAAACAATTTGTAGAGTAAATTAGTTTAACTTAGACTCTGTTAAGGACTGTTGCCTAACTTAGAAATGTTTCTTTTGTTTCTTATACTAAAATGCTAATTCTAGTAGACTTCAGTGAGAAAGTTATATATATTTTTTTCACTTTCTGCCTTCAAGCTCCTATATTTAGATTTTAATTTTAATTTTGGTCGATTCTACATAACCGCAAGTGATCCAGCTTTTTGGCTTGAAGTTGTGAGTTTTCTGCACAAATATAATTAGTGATCCTAGAAACTTTATGCTTCAAAGTATCATCCATTCCAATGGGTGAGATTTTACATAGAGAATAAGAGAAACATTCTGTAAGATATAGGCTCACTTTGTAAAAATGGCAAAACTTGCTATTTCTCTTTAACTTTCAAAAGAACTAATGAATTTTCGTTAATTGCCAAGTGACTCAAGTTATTCACACTCAAGTTTATTCACTTTTTCTCTAATTTTTATTAAACATCTTTGTCACCGTATTTTTCGGACCATAAGACGCTCCGGACCATAAGACTCACCAGTTTTTAGAGAAGGGAAATGAAGAAAAAAAGATTCTGAAACAAATAGTGTCCTAAAATATTTTATGTGCATTAAAACCCAACATCACAGTCATAAACACATGTAATCAACCCTGTAAAGTAGGGGTGTCGAACTCAATCAGAGAAGGGGCCAAAATCTAAAATCCAGCCTAAATTGCGGGCCGAATGGTTTACTGAACAGTCATAAACTGTCATTGTGATGGAAACACAGCGGAGTGCAGTGATGACAGCCTGGTGAGGGCCAAATTGCAAGGCCTGGTGAGACGGATTTGGCCCGCGGGCCTTGTGTTTGACACATGTGCTGTAAAGTAAACAGCAGCATTTAGAACCATTTTAGAGCCGGGCAAGCACACAGAGACCACACAGAGCCGGGCAAGTAAAAAAACTTTTTTTTTAAAGTATATGTGTAGGCTATATTTGGACCATAAGACGCAGGGACTTTTCCCCCCCACTTCTGGGGGGGGGAAAGTGCATCTTATGGTCCGAAAAATACGGTAGTAATTTTATTTCATGCTAAGATCATAACTCATTTACTTACATTTTCCTAATCAGTTAATTGATGACACAGTTAGGGGGTAGAGAGAATTCCCACAATTTCACACTTAAAAACTTTTGTTTTTTAATGGCATCTTAGGAATATGCTTAAGTTTCATGAAATAAGATATATACTATAGTCTTCTACATACTTTGTGTATTAAAATGGTCAGCCTTTTAAAGTATTGTTTTTTGTACATTTTAAATTGACTGAGAAAAATAATTCACGAATTCTTTCCATTAAGTGTGACTCCATATAGACATTCTGTTTTAAATATTGATTTCAAATTTTCGAAGAACAAAGTATATCCAGGCTTAAGTTTCTAATATTCTAAGGATTTGAATCTTAGCTGTACTAGGGTACTAACTTGGATAAATTAGTTAGCCTCTGTGTGCTTTAGTTTTCTTATTTCTTATTGGGAGAAAGTAGCCCAGGGATTGTTGCTAGGATTAAATAAATTAATATGATGATTAGAATGGTGCCAGGCACATAGACACTCTGTAATTGGTAGATATTTTTATGATTCCAACTATCATTATTGTACAATGATAAGTTATTTGTTATATGATACTTGCTTTCTAAGTAAAGCTGACTGAGGATTTGAATCACACTACTGCCTAATGTTCTCTTTTCTGAATAGCCTTTAGCAAATCCCATGTTAAATATAAATTGATAAGGATAATTTGGTATGTCAGATACAATAATATAGTCATGTTTGGTTGAATTGTTGAATTTGTAAAATTCCATATTAAGCTCATTGCAAATTGTAAGATGTTTAAAGATTATTTTAGTTGTTAAGATTTTTAGTATTGGACTGTATTAATACATATAATAGAAGTATGGTACAAATTAAATATGTAATTATAAATTTTATAGTAACAGGTGAAATTAATTTTAATAAATTTTAATTTAATATATATAAAATATTATTTCCACGTCAAATCTATATTTAAAATTGTTGAGACATTTTATGTAATTTTTATATTAAAACTACTAAATCAGGTATATATTTTATACTTAATGTACATCTCAATTTTTAGTTTTCAGTAGCCTTGTGTGGCCAGTGACCACATATGGGATAACACACACACACACACACACACACACACACACATATATATTGAAAATTTCTGTTTAAGGGATCATTTTATTAGTGTTTTTTTTTTTCTGAATTACTAGCATTTTAATGCTGCTGAACTAAAAATCCTATAGATTTAAAATATTCAAAAGGGAAATTTATTTAAGATAGGTGATTTTCAAGCATGTAAGCCAAATGAGTTTAGAAAAGCACATTCTACCACTTATATGTTAAAGAGATGTAATTCCCAAGTATGTGAGCCAAGTGAAATTCAGAAAAGCAAAGGCATTATCTTTATATTAAAATGCAAATATTTAAAATAAGCAATAACTGTCAGCAGATCAATTAAGTGATCTATGTGCTTAGCATTAATTTTATTGATAATACTTGTTAAGCAAGAGTAAGGTTTTGGGGGAGTTGGATCCTAGAGGTTGTATATGTACTACTATAATAAAGAAAAATTAATAATATTGGGTAACAGTTGGAGATAGTTTTTTATATCTATATTTTTGAAATCACACTTTATATAATATATAATAAGTAAAGTATGACATTGTTGTTGTGGTTTGTTCAGAACGAGATCTCTATTTTCCATGTACCCATATTGGAAGGAGAAAATTTAAAGACTCTCACAACATGAAATTGTTGGTTTATTGAAAATTACTTATTTTGTTCATTCTTGGCATAAGATAATGAAATAAGCTTTTCCAGTGAACTTTTGTAAATATACTGTCAGAAAACCCACTATTATTCTTTCTTACTAAAGGTAGGAATTACTACAACTGACTAGTTCACTTTATTTTATTTTTTCTTAATCTCAGGTCGCTCTTACTCTGTATGTTCTCCAAGAATGCTTAATCAGTGTCTGGAGTCCTTGGTGCAGAAAGTGCAAAGTGGAGTGGTAATAAACTTTGAAAAAGCAGGACCAGATCCTTCCCCTGTAGAAGGTACTATCACACTTTTCTTATAAACATTCTAAATTTGCTATATTAGTTATTCAACTAGAATTGAAAAATAAGAGCCATAGACTTTTTTAAGCATTTATAGATGAGCAACCTCATATTTTCTTTTTAGTGTTATAATGTTGTCTCTCTCCTGTATATATGCTTCTCCTATGTCCCTTTATTCACAGGAGTGAACTCTAGGTGTTTAATTCCTTAACACTATTTTCTCTAAGGATCAAACTGGCCAGAACCAAATGGTTTACGTGGTTCCAAACATGAGGAGCCAGCCTTTACCATTAAGCTGGATTATTTAACTTCAGCTAAGCTCCACCTAGCTTTACTCTATGAATCCAATATTCTATGATCATGAACTATTTATATTAGAAGGTATAAAGAGTTACCTTAGAACCAATGGACAACCATTAACATCTGGATCCTCTGCATTATACAATGGAGCTTATAACAAGAATTAGAAAGTTGTTAATGACACTTGGCAGAGGTGATCCACAGGGTGGGAGAAGAGAAAGGTCATAGAGATGAAAAAATGGGTATCCTCAGGAGGGGGATTATAGTAAAGGAGCAGAAGACAGTTAAGATTATACAAATTATATCATTGTTTCTGTTTTTAAAATTTTTAATTGAATTGTTAGGCATGGAATGTATTTATATTATTTTAGTACTTGGCTTAAAGTTAGGCACTAAACAAATGTTTAGTTGAAGAGAGTTGCTATTTTGGTAGAATTATTTCAGATTAAAGGTAAGTACTTCAAATCTGGATTTGCATATTACCGTATTTTTCGGACCATAAGACGCTCTGGACCATAAGACTCACCAGTTTTTAGAGAAGGGAAATGAAGAAAAAAAGATTCTGAAACAAATAGTGTCCTAAAATATTTTATGTGCATTAAAACCCAACATCATAGTCATAAACACATGTAATCAACCCTGTAAAGTAAACAGCAGCATTTAGAACCATTTTAGAGCCGGTCAAGCACACAGAGCCGGGCAAGTAAAAAAACTTTTTTTTTAAAGTGTAGGCTATATTTGGACCATAAGACGCAGGGACTTTCTCCCCCCCCCCCACTTCTGGGGGGAAAAAAGTGCGTCTTATGGTCCAAAAAATACGGTAAGTTTTTCTTTAGTTATTAGGCTTTAGTTAAAATGATTACTTTTTTTAGCAATACTTATCTAGTATTTCCTAAGCCAACCACAATGATGAAAATATTGAGTAGTATTTACCTTTATCATCTGGTGGGGGAAACATATCATTCATTAAATAACTATTTACCATGAAGTATGTTTTACATATTCTGATTGGACAAGCAAATGATACTATGAGCCCTCCTTTCAACTGCTGAACTCATAGTTGGCATTTATAGACTTTACTCTCTAGTGAATTTTAATCTCATGTAAATGTTAAGCAGTTGTGATAGTATTGTACCATTTAAGAAAACTAGGCAAATTCAGAATTGAACAACTATTGGGACATTTTTATTAAGTAATAATAGATATAATTGAACTTTTGATATTTTCTCTCCTTAATGATACATGCTTTTTTATGTCAATTTCTTTGCTATAGATGGGCAGCCAGATATATCAAGGCCTTTTGGATCTCAGCCTTGGCATAGCTGTCACAAACTCATATATGTCAGGCCAAATCCCAAAACTGGGGTTCCTATAGGTCATTGGCCTGTTCCAGAGTCTTTTTGGCCAGATCAGAATTCTCCAACATTAGTAAGTACCAGAGAAACTGTGGCTTTGTAATAGTAGCCATGTAGTTGTTTTTCATACTAGTTTTACTATTATCAGTTAAATGTGTGGCTAGTTTACAGGAATTAGACAAATGTTCAAAGTGCTATGATAAGCTATTAGTTGCTTTAGTATACTGTATTGTTTGTTATGTATAATGGAAAAAAAGCATCTGTTTTCTTTAGAATCTAATACTATGTTTATGTTTTTATTATTAGCATCTGTGTACAGAATCATAAATATAAGGAGTTTCTCTTTGGATTCTAAACATAATGTAACATAAAATTTGTCTTGGAGATATAATTTGGATCTTAAGTGAAGGCTTCCACAATAATTTTGATAGTTTGCTTTCAATCTTTTAGGAGTTAATCTTACAAATTCATGTTGACTTGCATGGTTTTAGTTATATTCAGTGTTGTCAGTCTAGAGATTTAAGATAAAAAAGATTTTCTGGTCTTGTTTATATGAATTATTATTATTATTATTTAAAATATATTTTTATTGATTCAAAGAGGAAGGGATATGGAGAGAGAGAAAGAAACATCAATGATGAGAGAGAATTATTAATTGGCTGCCTTCTGCATTGGGGATTGAACCGTGACCTCCTGGTTCATAGATCGACACTTGACCACTGAACCACACCAGCAGGGCTACATGAATTATTTTTTAGAAACAGTAAGACTTGCCATAGCTAATTGGCTATGTCGATAGAGTGTCAGCCTGCAGACTGAAGAGTCTAGGGTTTGATTCCAGTCAAGGGCCCACACCTCTGTTCCAGGCTCCTCCCTGGCCTAGGCCCTGGCCCAGGCTTGTGCAGGAGGCAGCTAATCAATGTGTTTCTCTCACATCGATATTTCTCTCTGTCTTTCCCTCTCTTTTCCATTCTCTCTAAAAAACAAAGGAAAAATATCCTCGGGCGAGGATTAAAAAAAAGAAACTTATTCAGATTTTAAGCAGTCTTAAATATTTCATATAGCTATCATTTGTGAATTAAACTGAATCCTATTTGACACCTTTTATATTTTAAACCTATATGAACTTTATAGGATAATATTTACTTTCAATCTACACAAGATCTATAAAGTGATGTTTCCTTTATTCACTTGGGGTTTAATGAAATTAAGGTCTTATAAATTTCAGTGAGGTATCTTCTTTATTCCTTTTTTTTTTTTTTTTCCTGATTGAACCATCATAATTTTTCCAGTCTAGCCTTATAGAGAAATTTTCAATTTCTTCATTTTACTTTCTCCTCTGGAGCTCTTTCAACTCTTATAGAACAGATTACATATTTGTATGAAGTATTGTCTGGTTGATTATTCAGTCTGTAGTCTTTATTTAATACTTACAGTAGTCGGGTCTTAATATAAATTCAAAATCAGGATCACAAGCAATATCTATTAACATTACTCTTGTTGTCTATTGCAAATTATTACAAGCCATAGAGGAATTTGAAGTGTGGATAGGATTTCAGTAGGGGGAGGAAATAGTATGAGAAAAAAAGTATGGAAATAAAAAAAGAATAAGGTATATTTAGAGGAAAACAAGTATATTCCTGAGAAATGTGGGTCATGACACATATTGAGAGTACTATTGAATGAGCCAAATTGTTCATTACTTTAAGTGCAGGGTTAAGGAATTTAAGCCTTTTTCAGTGGGACTGAAAGAACAACTGACGACATGTTTTTACAGACTGCTGCTCTAGGAAAATTGATCTGGTGGTGGTTCTTTGCAGGAAAAGTAGATGTGTTGGGAGGTAGTCAGGTTTCCTATTGGGTTATTGCTATAGTTCACATAAGAGATATTAAGAGTTTGGATTAAGATGGATAGAAGAAAGAATCATAAGATGATAATGGGAAGACTTGGCAAAATTTAGTGACTAAAGGATATTAGAGGGAAATAAATTTTTATTTCAAATAAAAAGTATTGAAAATAAGTGATTTATTAGAGACTGATTCTGTATTTGAATCATGGCTTTACCAATTATTAGCTAACCCTTAATTTCCTATCTGTTAAATAATTATAATAGCTGCTATCTCATAGGCTTCTTTGGAGGATTAACTGAAATAATGCAAAATTTGTTTGTCAAATTCTAGAGGAATTTCCTCTGCCTCTCTTTTCCTCTTGACCTCAATATTTTCATCCAAAAAACAATTGAGTTTCATGGACTGAATAAGCAATGTGTTACATACAACTTAGGCACAGGAGCACAAGATGAATAAAACGCAGTGCTCACCCTGTTGAACCTAACCATTTTATAGGAAGGTCAGACATATAAACATAGTAACATAGTAGAGTACAGTGTGTTAACTGTAATAGAGGGGCAGAGCAGAACCCAGAGGAGGTGGTGCCTAATTGCCTGGTATTTGTTTGGGATACAGTGAAGGAGTATAAGGAAATAAGTCTTTTAGTGGTTGATACTTGCCAGTTCAGACTTTAAAACTTTATTTGCAATATGCAAGGGAGAAAATAACAAAGCAGTCAAGATAACATGTGCAACACAGGGGCATGATAGATGATGATCTATTTGAGCAGTTGCAAGTAGTTTGGCATGGCTAGAGCACAGAGTTTACACAGTATGGTGGTTGAAAGGCAGATGGGGACCAGATCATTAAGGATCTTCGTGTATAATAAAAGTCTGGACCCTATTTTTAGGTGATTGGTTATTTTATCAAATACTTTCAGGTAGGGTCATTACATGATTATATATATTTCATGGCCATTGGATTAGAGGATGCTGACTAATTAGGGGAACTAATTAAAAATAAGCAGTTATACAACTCTTGTCTGAGAAATGAAGACATGAATTAGAGTGATAAGAAATAGAAGATAAATTTCTAGAGAGTTGGGAATTTAGTATAGACCGAGGGTAGTAACTAAATACTGAGCACTTGCCATGTTTGTATTCTGCTAAGTGGCTTGGAATTTATGGATTCTTTATCTAGGTCTTTGTGACAGTTAAATATGGAGGATAAATAGGAGATATTTAGGATAATATCTAGGTCTTTAGGTTTTCTGGTTTGGAGAAGAAATAAATTGGATAATAATGTGTCTGAGGGACCTATAGGAGATTTAGTTTGTCTATCATGCAGTTGGATAAATACGAGAAATGAAAGGGATCTGGTCCCAACACAGATTTGGGAGCCACCAGTGTATACATAGTAACTGAGGCTGAGAGTCCTTTATAGCTATTAAATTTTAAAGTATATCTTCATAGCTCATATTTTCTTCACCAATTTTCAATTGGTGAGATTTTATTTTCCATTTTCCAACAATTATTATTAGTTAAGTCGTGATTCAAGATCCCAGGATGGGGATCACCAAGTATCCAGGGCTTGCTTCTTCACCCTGGCGGAAGGATGAAGGACAGAGGAGAGGTGTGTGGAGGCAGTTCAGATCTTCTCAGGAATCATGACTTCTGCCTGGTGTTTGTGGCCTAGGCTGACACACCCAGGATATGGGACAGGGGTACTTGTACATATACCAGTAACATTCATATACGGAGACATCTCCCCCAGATGGCCAGCAGCTTCCTGTCCAGTTCTGGCTGAGGAAGTGGCTGTCAGAGGGGCAGTCTGGTAGATCTTGATTTTGGCCTTGATGTCTTCTGCAATGTTGCTTGACTTCTAAAGATGCCCCTTGTAGCTGGTTGGAGCTCAGTAACCCTCAATAAAGACCAATAAGATTTTTAGGAAGGAAACTATTAAGGGGAAAATAGAGTAACATGCTCCCACCCTTTTTTTCCTTTGAAGTATTACATTTTTTTGTATCTCCAGAAGTAGGGTGTATAAACCACAGGGATAACCAAAACACTCTACCACAATAGGCAAAGAATACATTAAAACTTTTAATATGTACCTATACATTTATACATACTTAATAATTTATAAATAATATATATTTTATATTTTAAAAGTTAATATGCAAATTAGCTGGGACGCCGTAACAGTCACAACCAGTTCAAGAAGAGGTTGCTCGCAGATGGGCAGGAGGGGACTGCTTGCACTGGATGGCATAGCCCCAGAGCGAAGAGGCAGGGGGCCATGCCCAGGCTGCCACCTCTGGGAGACAGTGTCGCAGCACGCCTGCCTCTGCATGTGAGCTACAGAGGAAACACCTTTTCTACAGCTCATTGGCCAAGCTCCCTGTATGACACTCGCAGCATTTTTGATAACTTGGGTAATAAGAATCCAAGAAGGTGCTCTAGGGTTTTTCCACCTCACTCCTGGGGGAAAACACAAAGTTCCACTGCTGGAGGGGCTAAGAAATGTCATATCCTGCCCTTCTGATCAAGGGCATGTACCTAGGTTGCAGGCTCCTCCTTGGCCGGGCCCATGTCAGGGCTCATGCAGGAGGCAACCAATCAAAGTGTCCCTCTCACACTGATGTTTCTCTCTGTCTTTCCTTCTCTCTTCCATGTTCTCTAAAAATCAATGGTAAAATATCCTCAGGTGAGGGATAAAAAAAAAAGAGAGAGAAAGAAATGTCATATCCTATGAAAGAGACATCTTGAAAATGCCTAAAGAAAGTTGTCATTTTTTTGTGGTGAAGGGACTGGAGTCCCTGTTGATGAAAACACCTTGGCGACTGACAGTGGCAGCAGCAGTGGGATGATGGGAGTGACGCCTTCCCCTGATGAGCCTGCAGAGGGTGGCTAGACTGCAGTTTAGGCCTGCTCCCCACCTAAGCTGTCAATAGGACATCCCCTGAGGGCTCCCAGACTGTGAGAGAGGGCAGGCTGGGCTGATGCATGCCCCCCCCCCCCATCCAATGCACCAATTTTGTG